TTTTTACATGACAATGCACTCCGGATCGCGCGGATCACGATCAGTCGTACAATGCATTGATGTTTCTCGCACGATTGACACCGCTTCTCATCCGACGATCGGAAACTTTACGCATGAACGAAGAGATACGACATTACTCATGGTAGTCATAGGAAGCGGAACAACGGCAATGACCATCGTTAGGAGTGTCTGAAGTAAATGTTAAGATAGCTTACAATAAAATCGTTTAAACAATCTCACAAAACTAAGCTTTAACATACAGACATAAATTCAGACATATTCAGAAGTAAATTGTATGCGCAAAATCTCCAATTTTTTAATAAAAATTTTTTTATAGTAGTTTAAATGGAAAGATGAAAATAATAAAATAATAATAACGATGAATGGATTATTTAATAATAGATTAAATAATAAAAGTATTGATAATATCTTCTAATTTTTTTATATTTGTTCATTTATTATATCTTATTACTTCATTTTAATATTAGTCATTATATAATCATCAAAAACAGGAAGTTTAAATAAATTTCAGACATAATTTTCTTCATCTATAATCACTTTTTCGAAATCATTATTAATGCTTTTTTTAAATAGAATTTTGTATTTTTATTCTTTACAATATTGCTGATATATTAAAACAAGTTTACTATACACAAATTAACTATATCATATCATTATGAAATAATCTAGAAAATCTTTAACAAAGAAATTTTTAAAATGTGTGTAAATTATTTTCTATAATTTATATTCAATATTAAAATATTAATATTATTATTTAGAAATTCCTAAATTGTGATCATTTTGTATTTGCAAATTCAACAGATATAGATACAAATATTTAAATATCCTGTTTCGAATGATTTAGCTTGTATTTTCAATACAATTTAAAGTTCGGGAATTAAAAGTGTCACCGTGATAATAGCACATGTTCCTTCTCTTTCTTTTCCCTCTTTCTTTAATAAACATCTTTATTTAACTTCATTGTTTCTATCGCGTTAAACGGATGATATATCGGTTTTTCGCGGCATGGAAATTTTTGACATTTGCACACGTGTGTGTATCTATCTGCGATGTGAGTTTTATGCAACGCAGGATAACGAAACGGAATTCTATTAAATCAAAGCATTGATTTTGCCACCGCTTCTGCTGCCGATGGTGCGCGAGTTGGTTAACGAAGGTGGCGATAACGATACATTATTATCGCGATACCTATGAATATATGCTACCCCCCTATGCCCGGGCTGCCCTTTGAAAATCGTATACCAGGCACGTGTCCGGCCTGTCGCGCCCCCGTTGTTACTCCACCGCGTGGATCAGATAATTTTCAGTACAAGTAGATACGGCCCGCTATTCGCACGCCGAACCGATCTCACGCGATATCGCTGATATATTAATCAAACAAATTGGACACATTTCAACCGTGTCATCGGGCAACAGCGACAATCAGTTTCTCTAAGCACAGATACACCCTTCGATTCTTTTTTAATTTCACAGTGAGTAATAAATAATCTTTCGTTCCTTGTCTCTTCTTGACATTTATTTACTTATTTAACTTTACAAAATTGTATAATGAAAGTTTAATCTCTTTCGAATACTGTATTTTGACATTATGTTAATTTTACATATATTAACGTCACACAAAATAAGTAGGTCTCTCTTACCACGTTATGTTTGAAAATCGCACAATAATTATAAATTCACGAAGGAAAGAGCGTAGAGAAGTATAATATTTATTACTAATATAATTTAAAAAGAGAATTTGCATTATTACTCAGAAAAGAGAAAAAAACTTTCAAAGTTAAACTTTCCTCAGTGAAATCATCGGTTCCTGATCTATAGGCTAAAATTCGATTGCAGAGCCGATTTATTTCCATCGGCGTCAATCTTTCCCGTTTCCACCGTTCCCTTTCCTCGGAGTAACTCGTCGCTGTTACTCCGAAAGCACATCCGTGTCGCTCACGGAAAATCGTTGACGGCACCTGATCGCGGTACGTGTTTAGAAACGTGTACTTTATTATTAGGTTTCATCGCCTTCCGCGCGAAGAGGCGTTCTCCCGCGGCTACCTGCCAACCCGCTCGACGCGATCAACTCTGACACGATCGGCGTCAATCCATTCTCGCTCGTCTCCACCGGCGCTTATCGCGCTTACGCCGGTATCCTCGGCATCAATAATAATAAAAGCACCGTGGGGGATATCGCGCCCGTCTCGTATGACGCTCCACGGGAAGCCTTCCGCCGCGCTTCCCACCTATCTACGAGCCTCTAACGCGAAAAGCGGGGTGAGGCCGAAGGAGAACAGTAGCAGGATGAGGGTGGAGAGAGAGAGACGGAGGGAGAATCGAAAGAGAGAGGGAGAGAGAAAGATGATACGGCTTGGTGGATGATCCCGCCTCTAAGGAGCCGCTCCGTGTCGGAGAGCCCGTGGTGTCCGGGGGCGAGAGCCGGCGATCTCCCCCGCGTACTCCTCTCCCTCTTCGTTCTCCACCCTCGTTCGCCACCCTCGCCGCTACGTCTCTCCGTCTCCCTCTCGGGTGCGTTCGCTTTTTCCCCCCCGCGGAGGACGTACCGGCGCAGGCTCCGATACAGCCAATCGTCGGACCGCGACTGATAACGACGCTCTGCCAAATGTGCGTCCGTCGCACCGCGGCCGAGTCCGCCACCGAGTGGTCCACGCGCGCTGACAAACTCTCGGGATATCCCGGCGAGCGAGCGCAAGTCGCCGATAATCTTTGATAATCCCCGCGAAGGTATCTAACGTTCCGGTACGACTACGGTACCCACCCTCTCCGCCCCGCGCGTTTTTCTTCGTCCCCTTCGGAGTGTTGATCCCTCTAGATCTTTTCCTCCGAGCTTTCGTACGGTGTGAGGAAAGTGAACGTGAAGGCTCTACGAAGGACCAAAGAAATCTCGGAGACACGAGGATCGTGAGGATCGAATTATTTATCGACTATCTCGGCGAGATCGGCGATCAAGGGAGATTTTTGGGAGATCGAGCTGGATCTGACAGTGCTGGACAAGACATCACGTGGGCCCCCGCACTGACGGTAAGCGCACGATATCTCCGTTTTTCCGCCGCGGTTTCGATCGGAATGTTTTTTACGCGATAGATGACGAGAAGTTCGAGAGAGAATATCGAGGGAGGAAACCGAAGATTGTCGGTCGCGCGCTTCCGTCGCATCGACGTTCTCCACGACGGTACCTCTCGATGAAACAATATCGATAACACCGAAACTGGCCGCGATCGCTTTGGATTGTGTAACCGCGAATTTATGGCGATTTTCCAGACGTTTTCTTTTTAAATTGGACACTTTTCCACAATTTCCTCATTTATCATTTATTTAATCAATTTGTCATAACACTAATCGCTTTTTATCTTCATTTGATATGATATAATATTTTAATAATAAATTAATAATAAAAACAATCTTTAATCAACTGTACTAATTTTTTTTATATATTATTTTATTATATATTATATATTATTTTTTTATATATTATTTTATATATTTTTTTATATATTAGTAATCAATCTTGTTTTTTTTTATTTAAAATGTTAAGAGAGAGAGAGATGAAAATATTGAAATAAAATATTTAATAGAAAAATTTAAAGAAGCACATTTGCTTGTTTATTCAGTTTTTTGAGCTGTACTAGTTAAAATTAAAATAATAAACATTATCATTCAATGAGAAATATAAATTTATTAACTTTCATAATGGCATAAGATATTAAACACTTTCATTTGTCATGTTAGCCTTCTCGAATGTATATTTATTAATGAAAAAGATATATATTATATGTGATAAATGAAGAAGAGTTTGCAAACTAATTAAAACTAATCTAAAAAAAAATTATTTAATGTTTCAATTACTTTCCTTATATTAATATTTCAAACAATTTCGAACAAATAACTGAAGAAAACCAAATAAACGAATCATACAAATAATGATACTGTAACCGTAAATGTAAAAGGATTATGGAAACGATTTAAATTTCATGCTCGAATTGTACATTTAACAATGCTAGTTGGACTCTAATAAACTTCAGTGTGAGGTCTGAGAATTAAATTTGCGCAAATGATGGCACTTTGGCAAAACACGATAACGACACGTCTCTGCAACTCATTTACGGAATCTTACGCAGATCTGAAAGCAGATGTAAAAAACGCATCTCCGTCGCCACGCACATTTTACGGGTTAAACGGCGGTGCACGCATTGACTAACGCGAAATTATCGCGCGTGTCCGCAACTACTATATTGTCCTCTTGCGTTACGCATCATGATCATCGTTTATTTCTTTTTTTTTTCTTTTAGAAAAATGCAAATTCCTTATTCACATACGAAGCTATTTTGCGCACATTTATAAATGTTTTCATCGAAAAAATCATACGCTTTGATATAATTTAGATGATTATAATTTTATTTCAATGGCAAATTTAATATTTATTATCACGGATCATTATCTTAATTTACTTTTCATGAAGAATTAAAATATACCAACACGTAAGTTTCATAAAGACGAGAATTTATTTTTTATTCCTTGTATCTTCTATTTTTTAAACTTGCGTCGCGCTTGTTTCTTATCCTCTTATTAAGAATCTTACGAAATTAATTTTAATTTGTCGTTTCCTCTCATTGAAAATAAAGTTGCGACACAATCGTTATACGATATCGGGAAACATTTTCTCAGAGATTTCGACCGACTTTTTCTCCCTTTCGCGATCGCGCGTCTATGTCGCGTCCGCGACGATGCGTTTAAATGATGCGTGCGTGCGTGCGTGTGTGTGTGTGTGTGTGTGTGTGTGTGTGTGTGTATGTAATGTATATATCTATATGTATGTATGTATGTATATATATATATATATATATATATATATATATATGTATGTATGTATGTATGTATATATGTGTATATACACATATATACACATATATACACATATATATGAGAGACGAGAGTTTAGACGAGGTAGGCAGAGGGGTTTCCGGCGAGCGTTAACAGAGTAACAGAGTGATGTAATGAGGCCCGGAAGCAGGCAATTTGCTGCCCGCGGCAGCCGCAGTTGCGCGAGACAACCTGCCCGGAGTACCTTCTTCTTGATACCGTGGTCCAGCCTCCTCCGTATCGGACACCTGACCGACCAAGCTTACAAAAAGTGATGTCGTGAAAGAGCGCGGATTAAAAAAAAAAAGAAAAACAAACCATACGTGTAGTGGCCGCACGGGCGAGTACGTGAAAAAACAAAATCGTCAGTGCGTGTCGAGAGGAGAAGATAATTATTTCGTATGATGCACACGCGGTCTGTTTGGATAACGTTGTTTTCTATTCGATGTAATGAGTGTAAACGCAAGTTGCAAGTTGCTGGCGTAATATACATTTTTATGCATCAAAGATTTTAGTTTCATCGAAATTAATGTTGTTTCTAAGTTTCTGGTGATTGCAACGTTAAATCTGGACAAGGAGATACAAGTGAGCGGAACATTTATCCAAAATTCAATAACGCTTATCCAATTCTCATCGCAAATTGATATATACGTATATTTCAGTCCACGTATCATTATGTTACTTACAATCATATTCAATTAAAGCACTTACTGTACTATTAAAATATTGCGTAGTATATTTATTAGCGTCATTGAGATAACCCCCGTATAAGTAATTAAAAATTACGATAACAGAAAAATCAAGACTAAAATGATTGTGTGTAAACACTCCTATTTAATAAACGGAACAAATTCTCGATATATAAAAATCACATAGTTTATGGGCTACAATATCCCTGACGGCCGATCGTTCGAGTCAGATTTTAAACTGTCAAACAGGACCGTGAAGACAATCCGGCTGTGCGCTCATCGTGCCGCGGAACGGTGTGACTATGTGACAGTTTTGTGATTAGATTGACCTCAATACGAGCTGGATATCCGGACGTACCTACAAGAGTGCTTTTATTCTTAACCATTCCGACTGAATATTTGCCAACGTTTCACGACAATCAATGGTTTAAGATGACCAAAAAAAGATTTTGCGTTTTGCGTTTTGCTGGATTATTCTATTAGATAATCCCAGGGAAAAGAATAATTCGAACAATCTGCACATCAAGTGAAACGAGTACAGGTTCATCGTGAAAATTGTCACAGTGATTGAAGGTAAAAAAAGAGTTTAAAGTGCGCATGAATAAAAGCATGAATAAAAGCTGAGAAAAATCGATTTATAAATGATTTGCGTGGTATCATTTACTGAACAAAATCTCTTAATAATAATATAATATATATTATTAATAATATAATATATTTCTTTATAATATAATATATAAAGTTAACAAGAATTTATATAAATTTGTAACAAGAACATAAGATCAGTTATTTATTCTAAAGATTCTTAATGCTGAATTTAAAGAAATTTATAATTCAAATTATGATTAACAAAAAATTGACGAATATAATCATGATTTGTTGCATGTGTTTGTGTAAAACTGAACGAGGTTTGAATTTTGAAAACCTTGGTACTGGAATTTTACAATATACACATATATATAAATTAATCTATCGATTAATTTATCGATTTTAATGAAAAGGTATTTTATAAAAATTTTAAATAAATAACTACCTTAGTATTTTTTGCCAAATAAGAAGTGAGTGAATAGTTCACATCCAAGTATATTACAATGATTTGGAAATCAATACGAAAATACATATTTCCACTCATGATAATTTCTCTATCTACATATTTTCTCTAACGTAGCACGATAAGAGTTTCACATGTTTGCATAAATTCCACGTGGATCGGTCGAGCAGTTTTGTGCGGCATCATTTCGTTTGAATAATGATTTATGTAATATGGGAAGGGATAGCGGAAGTGGCAGATTTTCAAGATTAGACGGAAGCGGACTCGCGATAAACGACAAGCTTTAATATTATAGCTGGTCCCTTATCTCCGCATTCTCCGTTACGGAATTGCGGCGAGATACGATCACAACGGACCTCATGCAAATTCTATCGTGAATCGTTTTCGCAATTTTGACGACTATAAGTTCAAGACCGCGTCGATGAAATGTAAATGATAGACCGATGTATTTTCTAAATTACTCGAATACAATTAAAAATTCTCCATTGTTACATAAGAGTACATATTCTCCATTGTTGCGTAAGATTTGATATTTTTTGATGTTTCTGGTAGTTATATCTATTTTGGATAAAGTATTGCAAAAAATGGAAACAAAAAAAGTACGAAACATTTCATTTACTTTATAAAAGATGTATAAAAATTTAATAAATATTTTATTGAATCTAAATGGGAGAAAAAATAATAAAAATAAACTTAAGGCAATATTTCTATTCTGAAATTTTGCAAATCAAATTTTTAAAGTAATAATTTTAAATAATTTTTCAAGCACAATTTTATAAATATATATAGATCAATTTTTGCCACGATATATTTAATTAAAACAAAACATAGAAAGTGTATATTTGCGTATTAAAAAAAGTGATAATTTATTAGCATCTATGAAGCATTAATTCTGAATTAATATCGCACTCGACATGAACTTTAATCTTCAATTAATAAATATCATCACATCTAATGTGAACAAGAACGTTTATAACTACTTTTCTATATATGCAATTCTGATTGATTCATGATCAGTAATAGAAGAAAGATTTAGATATTATCTATTACTTATTGTCTGTTACATTGTTCAATTAATCGAGAAGAAAGATTTAAAAAGTGACATATAGAATGTTTACCTTATTTTTTATGAAATATTACTCCGAAATGCGCGCATATACATTGTATTTTAATAAATTAACGATGATAAAAAATTAATCTTTAGAAATGGCAACTGTTTTAAAATAATTAATATTGATTGTATTTGAAAGATATTCTAAATTGAAAATTTAACTATTTAGAAAATTATACACGAAAAATAATTAAATATACTTGTAATATTAATAATTTTGAAAAAAAATGTCAGAGACATGTCAAATTTATAAAAAGAATATGACTCAAACTTAGTCATAAGCCATTTATCACGCTGAGATTAAAAAAAATAAGAGATATATTTTTGCATATATGATCATCTATTTTAATTCGATCTTGCCTTTACCGGATGTTTCAAGGGTCCTTTAATGACCCCTACTGCGGTATCTGCATGAGCATGAGTGCTGTCAGTTTAAAGTAACGTAGATTTGCTTTATTCGACCCTGCATTGCATTTTATCCGTTTACTAAATCGAAAGAGTTTAATAACGTGGATGATCAAGTGTGAATAGTAGGATTAATTTTTTCTTCGATTTTCTATTCGCAACTCGGAAATTAAACTACTGACATACCACTAAGAGCATTCTGCTAGTTGATTTGTACGACGACGCAAACTTTACTTCTGATAGTTACAATGTTAATATTCTACAGGAAGTGCTCAATTGAACGAAACGGAGTCAACGTCGACGTACAGATGTTTCTCGTTGAGACTTCTTTCTGAATCAATGAACAGAAGAAAACCATACGCAATTTTCGAATTTTCGTAATTTTCCCGAAAAAAAATTCAATCTACGTAAAGGATTTCTCGTTTATTTAAAAACAGCTCGATCAATTCTATTTTATGTCACAAGTTATTATCGCTAGTGGCAAATCTTTTTGTTATTTACAAAGATAATCCCGGATTGCAGGGGCTCTTTGGTGATGTACGACAGCGCTAGCTGTTCGTACGCAGGTGCGCTCGAATTAAAGGGAGCCTCCGGGGCCGGTGCCGCGGCCGCGGCCGCCGCCGGTGTAACCGCGGCCGGCGTCAAGCAGGAGAACTGGCCGTATCGCGGCCTGACCTGCGGCAGCACTTTTCAACGGCTCAAGGAAAGCGTCGACAAGGCGAAACAAGCCCTCGCCGATCGCAGTGGCTACCTTGCGGGTGCGTTTTCGCCGCCACCGCGCGCCAACCCGTCCACCATTTCGCCCACTGCCTCCATCACTGGTAAGCATAACTTTTTTTATAAGAATCTCAAATTTTTCTCTGCACCATTTGTATGAAAGATGTGTCATATAAAAGAGTTTTTGCGTAAAAATAAGCTGAAATAATATTTCTTCATACAAAGCTCCGTTTTCGAGAAAACTAAAGAATTTATTAAGTAATGTGTTCGCTGTTATTCAGATTTATTTTTATGGAATTTTATATTTGTTTAATTTATTTTTATATAATTTATATTTAATTATATATAATTTATATATAATTTATTTTTATATAATTTTATATTTGTGAAATACAGTATTATTTATTTCTTTTTAGAATGAGAGAAAAAAACAAAAGTTTATGTCTCAACTTTGGCAAGACGATTACTGTTTTTCGTATCAAAGTTTATTAAATAATAATATTAGAAAATATTAAATATGAAATATGATATTTTTTGACATAACGCGAATTCGAGCGAACAGGCAGGTGTGAGATATGCATGAAAGTGTAATTCATTGCTTGACGATGCAAAATAGTTGTTGCCGTAACGCCAAGCGTAAGGTCACGCACAAACGCGTGGAAAGGCACGCAACCTGATTACCTGCAAGTTTATACCTGTGTAAGATACCATCGATCGGTTCTGATATGCGTCGCGATGACGTAATGCGGTTAATGAGAGCAAGAGCCGCATTTGCCCTCGCATTTTCCCACAATGATAACGGCTCACGCGACGTTAAGATTTCACAGAATCGCGAACGCGTTTTAACGATTTACGGTTTGCATGTTCATATTAAATGGCGTATATGAATACCTAATTTTCATTCATATAATTGGATGTCATAAAATATTAAATTTTCTTTTTATAGAACCGTGGGAAAAATTATTATTACTAAAAAAATTATTATACAGCGCAAATAGTTTTTACATTAAATATTTGCAAATTTTCCTCTTGTTTTTCGGGGCAAGAAAAAGATGATGTGATTATTATATTTGAGACTGTCAATATCTTAAAATTGCAATATCTGTATAATTATATCATCAAAGAGTCATTCCAATTTAATTTTTATTTTCGCCATTGAAGGCTATCTTTCTGTCGATCGTTCGCAAATTAAAATTTCATTTATTACGTCGTGTTGAAGAATACAATTTCGTCACGTTAACTGATTATTATTTTTTTTTTCAAATAATATCAAAGTCATATTGAAAATAAAATTTAAAAATGCAGCGTGGCATTTTCGCTTTTAATAACGATATCGCGCGGTATCTCTCTTCGAAATTATTAAGTACCGGTAGAGACGAATGTTATACCGCGCGCGATGTTCTCTCGTGCCAAGAGAGACGCGAAAAAAAAACCGGGGCAACAGTCTCGCGCGCGATAATTTGTCATCCGGCAGTAGCAGCAGCCGGCGGGCTGACTGTTGCTCTTCGTTGTCGCCGATTTCCGATTGCTTTTTTAAAGCGCCGGTCGCCGAGGACATTAATTACCCGGCCAGTGTAAATCACGTTATCTGCCGCCCACGCCCGCGAGGGCCGCGAGGAGACGGCGGGAATGGAAGGGGAGGACGACGGAACAGGAGGAGGAGGAGGACGAAGAGATGAAGAAGGGGGAGGTGGGAGAGGGATGTTCGAATACGACGGGGAATCGTGTTGCGCGATGCGAGGGTGTTGCATCGCTGCCAGCCGAGCAAAACGCTCGTCGGCTGCTCTCCACGGCCGCAGCAATATCCTGCTCGTCGTTACCGAAATTTATCGGCGACTCGCCCGAAACTTTCGTCTCGCCCGATGGTGGATACGTTTAACGGCATGACGCGGTCACCCGCAGTTACCTTGCCGATCGATCGATCTTTCGCGAGCGCGAATTCTGGATCGCGCGCATCCAGATCGAGGATGATGCTCCATTTTTCGCTCTCGCTCCGTTTTGCACGTTTATCGTTTTATTAATTCATCTCGCGCTGGTCGTAAGGTCACTGAAATAACGTTACTGTTATTGAATAGTATTGCGTAACATCATGGTATCCACGTAATCATAAAATGATAGCCGTTAATCTGCAACGTTCTCTTTTTAATTCACAGATTAATTTTATTCATAATCGTTTTATGATATGTATCTAGAAATACATTGATAATATATTGATATCAAGCTTGATCAATACCGAACGATAACACTGAGTTTTATTAATATTGATTAATGTCAAAAAAATTCATATCTCATACACTGTCTTATTTTATAGATTGCATTTCAAATATCCCTCTCTAAGAAAAGTAAAAATAAAAAATAGTTTATACCATCAAAGTAAAAATTCTGAATAATCGTATTCTTAGATTCTTTAAATATATAATTCATTTATTTTGAATATGAAACAAGTTTGAAAAATAATATATTTAAAATTGATGCAATTTTATTTATATTAAAAAATACATGCCATGATTTTTATATTTTGACATTATTTTGAAAAATGATTTTTGTATCAAAATTCAATGTTAGATATTTTACTTTTCATCACGATTCCTAAAACTGTTCCATCTTTTTATTCTTTCGTTTATCGCGACAGTCGTATATATATATACACGTTACTCTATCTTTTTACACGATCATGCAGTTTGAGGGAAATCTTTACTTATATCCGTGCATCTCGAAGGACCGTCTCAAAATTTTGACGAGACTCGTTGGGTTCGAGACAAGATGGTGGGTCGATGATGGCGGCGGGTAGTTGCGAAAACGCAGAATGACGAGGGAGGAGCGGTTACAGGGTTAGCCGGGAGCGTATCCATGACGACCGACCGCCCCATGTACCCTCCGAGATCCCGGATGCTCCCCTCGGCATCCCAGCATCCCTCTTCTCCTTCCTCCCTCGTCGTTTGCCCCCTTTCCACTCACTTGCCGCCGTCCCACACTCTCGCTGCCATCCTGGGCAACCCTCTACGATCCCCCCAGGCTATCTCTATCTTCCCCTATCTGTGGCCCGCTCCGAGGGATGCACGACTACTTAGATTTTAAGTCGGGCCGTTTCGTGCCGTGTACCTATATCCTAACTTGGCTATAATTCTCGCGAGATACGGATGTGTCGACAAAGGAACTGGATTCTCCGCGAAATTTCGGCCCTTGCTCTTGCGCGCGACAGAATTTCGATGTAAGCGCGAAGCACAAATTTTGTGCGGCACAAAAGCTTCTCTGGGTTTAAAACCATCGACTAAACTCTAAATGCGGTATACCGCATGATGAATTTTGACATCATATATTTTAGTTACATGATTCTAGTAAATGAAAGGTCGCGTAATATATACAAGTATGATATATGTATTTATTAACATTAATAATATATAACGTAATTTTTGAGAAATAATATATAATATATTGAATTGAAAAAATTGCAAAATAATTAATTATCAATATTAATATTGTATAATAATTTTTGAATAATTCTTGAAAGGATGAATAAATTTAATCAAGTGTTGACGAATAATTGTTGGTTGCAACTATTTAAAAAATTTTTTTTCTTTTTCTGTACCTTCTGTACCTTCTGTATCCCCCTCTTTCTTTATCTCTCTTTATATATATTATAATATGTGGTCAATATTAATTATTTCAATATTAAAAGAAAGGACAAATGTAATTGAATATTAATTAAGGTTAATACTTGACTAATATTTATAATTATGATAAATATATAAAAAATTAAATTAAATATAATTATAACATAATTATATTCAACTTAATTATAACATTATTATATTAAAATTATACTGTATAATTTCCATATCTCGTACTTGACTTTCAAAATTTAATTTAATATAAATTTTGGAATATATCTATATATTTTTACATTAATAAAAAACCTATTTTTTAATTATATACTAATTTTATTTATATAATTAATTCACGTAAAATCAAGACAATCGGATAAAAAAATATTTTTGCAAAATTATTTTCTGTCTTATTTACTTTGCAAAATTATTTTAAGATCGATTGTAATTTTATTCTATAAGAATGTCAAATACAAATATTGTTTGTGTTTAGTTCTTTAATTTTTATTATATATGATCTGCATTAGCACCAATAAAGTTAAGGATCAGAGGTAGTGTCGGTCATTGTGTCAGCAATGCAGGGTAATGCATGTATTTAATGTTTGCTGGTCGAGCACCATCCCTCTATGTTAACTTGTTTGCACACGTAATTGATGTTTGACAAGACGCGGTGACACGCGTGCCGACGTCGTGTTTGTCACTGTACGCACGTTAACCTTTTTATCATGAAAAATAAACTGCACACTTAGATGTGTGCGATGCGCGCGCGTATTATTGCTATATAAATTAATGAGTTCAATCCGTATAATTTTAATATAATACAATTAAATCCATGATTTGATATTTTAAATTGATATTGTATATTCCAAAACACAACTGTCTTAAATTAAATATAAATATAAAGTAGAATATAAAGTAGCCATACTTGCTTGATGTAATTGCTATTCTATCTGGAATATTTTTAATATCGATAATATATTAAAATGTCAATCATACCAATTAATTTTCTACATATACTCTATCTTAAAAAACTATAAGAAATTATTCTTTAAGCCTAACTATAAGAAATTATTGATCAGTTTAATCATTAATCAGAATGAGTTTTATTTTGAAAAATTATATTTAAACTTTCTTGGCGTAAGTTGCTACTTTGCAATACTATTAAATCAAAGCAACGATGTCAACCCTGACAAATTAGCACTCTTTTATCGAAGGAGTTTTAAACGGTGATATTTCGTATCGCACAAGTGTAACGTTGCCTTTCATCTACCTAATTATACGGAATATATCGAGAGAGAAAGAGAGCATTCTAAACAGTGCTACATGAAAGAATACCGCTCCTATCCGCCCCTGCTGTAGAAATTTACTCATCTATAGATGATGACAGAAATTGGTTCTCTATATTAAACGATAGCTTTATGCACGTTTAAATGTGTATAAAGTAATACAGCGAATTCTTTTTAAAAACTGCGTATAACATCGAAAAAAATAAGAGCTAT